CAGAGTGATGGTTAATTTGCATGTTTCTCTTTTATTAGGTAAGAATTCTGGAAAAATACCAGGATAGTTACAAAATTTAGCCATCTGATCCTTGAGAAAAAAACCAGTAATTTTGAGAACACACCGGGGCTTGTTAAAAATTTAGTATGTTTGTCAAGCAAATTATTAAATGAGTAAATATTCATTGAAAGCTGGTGACAAGCAGGCATTGGTATTGAACAATCTTTTGCATGCTAGTGTGTGTGTTTGTATGTTGGGAAGTGTGGGGAGAACACAGAGAAAGGGAGGCTAGCAAAGAATGAGGCCTGACCATCGATTGCCTCCAGTATGCAGTCTAGTTAAAGAGGCAAAAGATGGACAGGTAAGCAGTTCACCATTACAGGGATGAACCAAGAAGATTCTGGAAATAGTATGAATGATGAAAGTAGTCAGTTCTCCTTTTGTCATTTAGCCATTTGCTTTCCAATTTCTTTCTCATTCCTTTCATCTAACCTATCCTGCTGAATTTTGACCCAGTTCCAAATCATATGGTATGGAGACATTCTCACCACTCCATCCTATTGCTCCAGTTACCATTTTGCTAATCGTTCATGGTCTTTTAAAATATTATTTTCTCCGTCAGGTTTTCCAGATAATCCCAAGTAGATGCACTTGCTCCTTCATTTGGTCCCGTTTAGCATTATATTTTTACCGGGCTCATGCACGTTAGAATATTAGGTCTCTATGGTGACCCTAATCATATCCTGTCTATCTTGAATTGGAGGTGGCAATTGAAGAATTGCCTTAATTGCCACCTCTCTTGGCCATGCCAAGATGACTAAATTGCTTCAGCTGAGATAATCGTGCACTGGGCCGCTAGAGAATATATAAAAGAACAAAATATATTGCTTTCCTCTCTGCTATGAAAAGGGGGACCGCTATTAGTTGTAAGGTGCTCAACCTTAAACTACTCAAGTTCAGCCATAGGCTATTGGTATTTGACTCTTTTCTTTTGAGTAACGTTAAAAATGTATTCATAATTGTAGTCAATCCTCATTATTTTGTGGATTCTGTATTCCTGAATCATCTACTTGCTAAATTTATTTGTAACCCCAAAATCAGTACTTTTGATTCATGGATGTGCACAGACAGGCCCAAGGTGCATGTTCCCAGCTGAGGATGAACAAGGTGATGCTCTGCTTCCTGTTTCAGCTCTCACACTGTAAAAGGGTGTCCTTGAGGCCTATTTAATGTCACATTTTTTACATGTTAGTGCTTTTTTTGTTGGCGAATTCACTGTTTAAAATGGCCTCCAACTGAAGTACTATCTGGTGTTCCTAAGTGCAAAAGGCTGTGAGGTGCCTTATAGAGAAAATACGTGTGTTACATAACCTTCTTTCAGGCATGAATTATAGTGCTATTGGCTGTGAGTTCAATATTAACCAATCAACAACATATGTTAAATAAAATGTCTTGAAATGGAAACAAATATAAAACAAGGTTCTGTGTTGGTCAATTCATAAAAATGTGGCCAGAAGCTTGCAGGATCACATTCCTGTGTTTCCCTAGAAGCAGTGGCTCAGTGTTCATGGCTAATTCAGTGATCATGGCACCTTTAATAGAATATTGCTACTAAGAGTAACTAGAATCAACTGTATCAGTTTCCTCCAGGAGTGTAGATAAGCCAAGGACTCATCTTTGTCTTATATAAACTTTAAAAGTATGCAATTTAAAACCAGTTCCACTTGTAGGCTGATATTACCTCCTTTGTCTTCAGCAAGGGAGCATCCTCAAAAGGAGTTGCACATGTTTTGTCTTTCCACAATGCCAGGTTTATTAGAGAAGACACACCAATAAGCCAATAGAGTCATATGCAGGTTACACATGGAGAGGGGGAGCTTATGCGATAGAAGCGAGCAGAGCAAATGTCCAGAGCAAAGTCCCAATCATTGGCAGCATTTGCAGGTGGAAAGGAGGGCGTCATTCCCAAGCCAGGTGGCTGCAGTGGCAGCACCCTTCCCATGGCGAGCAGGGCTCTGACCATGACCCATGGTATGGCCAAGCTCAAGCATTGGGTGGTGGGAGCTTGGAGTTCATATAGCCCACAAAGGGTGGAGGGCCCATTCATATTGGTGTCCTCGTGGAGTCCTTATCCAAGTGTCCAAACTTGTGGTTTTGGGTGTTCCTGGACCTCCCTAAGGGCATTCCCATTGCACCCTATTACCTGTCTTTTTTGTTTTTGTTTTGTTAATCCTCACCTGAGGATATTTTTCCATTGATTTTTGTAGAGAAGGAGAGGGAAAGACAGAGAGATACATTGATGTGAGAGAGACACATCGATTGGTTGCCTCCTGCATGCACCCTGAACAGGGCCGGGGAACTTGCAATCAAGGTACATGTCCTTGACCAGAATTGAAGCTGGGACCCTTCAGTCCACAGGCTGATGCTCTATCCTAGGGGTGTCGAACTCAATCAGAGAAGGGGCCAAAATCTAAAATCCAGCCTAAATCACGGGCCGAATGGTTTACTGAACAGTCATAAACTGTCATTGTGATGGAAACGCAGCGGAGTGCAGTGATGACAGCGCGGTGCGGGCCACATTGCAAGGCCTGGCGGGACGGATTTGGCCCGCGGGCCTTGTGTTTGACACATGTGCTCTATCCACTGAGCCAAACCAGCTAGGGCTCATTACCTCAGTCTTGACACAGCACTTGTTATAACTGTGTCTTTATCATGGCTCACTGACTACATATTGGATTGTCAGAGACGTCCAGCAAGTATGCTCTGCTCTTGCTCTATACATCCCTGGAGCATTTTTTACAAGCTTGATATAAATTTTGATAATGCTAGTTAGTACAAAGAACAAAGTTAGAAGTACTTCTTAAATTATCTTACCATCCAGAATTAGATATTGTTATTGTTTTGATGTATTTTCTTCTAGTACTTTTTTCTGTATATGTTTTGTGTCTTTTTAAAACTTAACATAATAATCTTAGCATTTTCCCAATATTCTTAAAAAAGCTAACCTTTACTAACTTTATTAAACATCTGATGTGAAGGTTGTATCAGTTGACATTACTGCAATGATGTATGAGCGTACCTTTTCCCCCTCCATATCACGAATACAATAGATTCACCGACCTTCTCTTTATCTTTGCTATTTTGACAAGTGAAAAATAATGCCTCATGATAGTTTTAATTTGTATTTCTTTTATCTGAGTGATTAACTTTTCATTTTTAAGCATCTGTTCACCGTACATAATTATATCCTTGCCCTAGTTTTTCTGTTGGGATGCTGGTATTATTATTATTTTATAGAACCTCTTTTTATATCAAGGAAATCAGGCCCTTTTCAATGACAGGAGTTTCAATAGTGTTAGGAGGGATTAGGCTTGTTTTGCATATCCCTAAAGGTAAACCTTTGGATACATAGCATAAAATCAAACCAAAAGAAGGATGAACTTTATAACAATTCATTATGCAGAGGTAGAAAAGCCTCCCTGAGTTGAAGCGATTTTCTGATTTCTGGGAAATACAAACATGCACTGGATGTTAACATAATGGGTGTGTTACCAGGTTCAATGTTCCTTAAAATAGCCATACTATTGATACATGAGTCAGTGCTGTGCTGGAATAAAAAAAAATATTAGAGCTGAGAAGAATTTTAAAAATAAAAATGAAATTATGCTGTACTAACACATGAATGTAAAATCTGAACACACACACATATTTGAGCGCATGCTCATTTTTAAAAAATTAACAGTAAGACACAAAGAAATGTGGAGGATATTTTTCTACAAAATTCTTATTACCTCAATAGGATGGGTATACCTGGTCTCACCTGGAACCTCAGGCTCCTCCTGAGATTTATGGAATCAAAACCTGCATTTTAACAACATTGTCAAGTGATTGATGTGCACATTAACATTTGAGAAGTGCTCCTCTAGATGACTTTGCAAATTAGAGATATTGTAATTCTATGAGATAAGAGTGAGAACCTGATTTTACTGAGTTAATGCTTTTTTTTTTTTTAATTTAGCTCTTTGGTTTGGCTAGCTGTATATTTTCTGTTAAAGAGTTTTCTGAAAATTGAGGAGGGAGGAATGCCCTAAAGGAGGCACAGCTGGTGGTCACAAGACAAAGGGGAAACTTTGTTCAGTGTTTCCTGCCAGGAGCTTAGATTCTGGGGAGCATTGTTTTCCAAAGGCCTGAGTGGTAAAGGGTGGAATAATTTTGCGGTGACCTATTTCTGGTCAGGCCTGATATCTCCCCCCAACCCCTGGATTTGTTTGGGACAACTGTAAATGATCAGAAACAAAGAAAGATCTGTAAATTTGGCAACATTCTTCTCTTTTTAATCCATGCCCTAATAAAGTTTAGTTTAGCTTGAAAAACCAGTAACGTGCACACTCTGTTGATGAACCATTCACCTACTCTGAGGAGAAATGCATTTTATGCCTTTTGACATCTTCCTTCAAATTATAGCCTCATGACTTTACAGATTTTAGCACTGAACATCCCGTGTCCCTTGGATCCCCTCAGTCCTGGGGAAACCAAGATGGTTGGTCACTCCTGCCTAGTTAAATCTAAGAACTGTCAGGACTAAACTTGTCATGCCTGCTTCTCAGGGACATTTTAGGATGTTTTTGTCCATTATGTTCTTAGTTGTGCTTAGACATGTTTTAAAAGTTCTTCACTACAAGCCTTAGCACGTTTGTTGATCAGGAGAACAAACCTTCCTTGTTTCCAAGGGTGTGCCCAGTAGAATGGCCACCCTAGCATTCACTGGTTGGCAGCCAGCAGTTGCAGGCAATGCCTGAACAATATCCTGGAGAGGAAGGAAGGGTCCCAGTGATTCACACGAAAGCTCACACTGGATTCAGATCTCCTGTCTGCCATACAGCCTGCCTTTTCTAGCTTGCTGTTCACTTTCAAAACTTATCATACTATTATTGAATCAAGGTTGGGGGGAGGAAGCTTTACTTAATTAAAATCCATTTTGGGGGTAAGGGAGGGAAATACTCTAGGCCAGTGGTCGGCAAACTCATTAGTCAACAGAGCCAAATACCAACAGTACGATGGTTGAAATTTCTTTGGAGAGCCACATTTTTTAAACTTAAACTATTGATATATAGGGAGGTACATTGTTATTAACTTCATTAGGGTCCTCCTAAGCTGGCCTTTGCTAAAAACTCAAGGGGCCAAAGAGCCGCATGTGGCTCTCGAGCCGTAGTTTGCTGACCACTACTCTAGAAAACTAGGAAAGAAGGATACTTTCCCCAAATTATAAAGACCATTGTTCAATGAATATTCTATGTCATATCTAACACTGAGATATTAGATATAATCCTATTAATTTGAGAAAAAAATACAAAAATATTGACCAGCACCATTACGATTTAATATGGTTCTGAGAGCTTTGAAGCTTTTAAGAGTTATAGGTATTGGAAAGGAAGAGGGAGATATTTATTTGTAGGTAACATGCTAAAAACAAACAAACAAACAAACAAACAAACACCCACAGTGGTTGCTTCCACTGTTGGGTGGTGATATGACTGGAGAAGAACGAAGTGCACAGGACTTGTCCTGAAGTTATAGTTACAATGCCAGCACGTGGATTTTTGCTTATATGTTTATTTGGCATGATTGAGAGGTGACGCTAACAGATTATAGGAAAGAAGCTAAAGCCACCCTCAACTGATAAGCTCATACTGTATGGCATTGCATAATGGGGAGGATGACCTAGGGGCAGCTTCCTCTAAGAAATATTTGTGGACTATGAGAGGTCCCCATAAAACTTCATGAGTGCTCAGTTTATAATCACAACTTTCTCCTCTTCCACCTGTAGCCTGGCTGAACAGAAATTAAAATTGTGTGTGTATACATGCACACACGTGTGCTTACGTGCATGTGTGAGCTAGTCCTGGGGGTAGAGGACTTCTACTTTGTAAGAAAGTTAAAAGAAGATTAAGAAGGAATAAGAGATGTCCAATTGAAGAAGTTTCATGTTCTAAAGGGAAAGCTGGCGCTAAAACAGGTTTGGCTCAGTGGATAGAGAGTCGGCCTGCGGACTGAAAGGTCCCAGGTTCGATTCCAGTCAAGGGCATGTACCTTGGTTGCGGGCACATCCCCAGTGGGGGGTGTGCAGGAGGCAGCTGGTCGATGTTTCTCTCTCATCGATGTTTCTAGCTCTCTATCCCTTTCCCTTCATCTGTATAAAAAAATCAATAAAATTTATTTTAAAAAAATAAAGGGGAAGCTGGTACTTCTAACAGAAAGGCCGGGGAGGGATTCAGGAAAATGTTAGCCATTTAGTAAAATCTTAAGAAATAAGCTAGGTATGATTCTCTGGATAGTGGGGGTAAAGATGGAGGGCATAGTATGGGGATAGACTAAATGGTGAGTAGTCTATTTGGACTTAGAAAGTGGATATGTGTGTGTGGTGGGTGGGACCTACGGCTATATAGGTTGAACCATTACCAGGGACAGCCTTGAAAGCATAAGTCATTCTTTATTTATAAATGGATGGCCAAAATTGTATATGCTGAAACTCCAAAATTAATCCAATCATGTTAAATTAGAACGATCTTTAGCTTTCAGACTGTCTTATGTCAATGGTTCTCAACTAAAGGTGATTTGCCCGGTAAGTGGTCATTTCTGGAGATGGTTCTGATCATACTAACTGGAGGATGCTGCTGCCATCTAGTGAGGAGAGGCAGGAATGCTGCTGAACATCCTACAGTGAGCAGACAGTTCCCGCAGCAAAGAATTAAGCCCTGGTCTGTCAATGAGCATAGGTTACATGAGGAAATACCAGTTTCACTGAAATATTCTTTGAAAGTAGTTCAAATAAATTCTTAAGGAATTTCCCAATTTCTCCCACCTGATTAATGATTATAAACAGAAACCTTTTATGTCCTAGAAACTGCATTCTTAGAGCTAAGTAGACAAATTGGAGGCAATGTAATAAAGACTATCAACCAGTTATTAAATATTCTTTGATGTCACCACATTTAAAATAATTTTTTAAGTGCTACTAAAAATAAGTCCACAATAAAGTAATATAGATCATTACATGATAAAAAGCTTCTTGCAGATATTCAACACTTTTAGCAAAGCTGCTTTGGAGTTATCCATCAATGGATTTAGAATGAAATGCCTGACCTTACAGGATTAAACCTGAATGCCATTTGCCATGCAATAACATTATCTCCCAGTTTCATGAGTACATGCTTTCAGTACATTACCTCTGCTTCACCAACAACCCTGAAAAGTAGGAATTGCTAGCCTCCTATTTTACAGATGAAGAAACAGAGGCTCAGAGAAGTGCTGACTTGTCAAGCTCACACAGCTCCTACAGGGCGGGCTTGGGCTGGCCCATCTGATCCCAGGCTCATGCCTCACCACTCTCCCATGCTCCTGCTCCTTCTCCAACAATGCTGGTTTCTATACATCTGGTATTGTCTCAATACATCGACACATTAGTATTACAAATTAGATTCTACAGGTTATACAGATCTCCAAACTAAACGCCTCATACTCTTTATATATATTATTGATTTTTACAGAGAGGAAGGGAGAGGGATGAAGAGTTAGAAACATCAATGAGAGAGAATCATTGATCAGCTGCCTCTTGTACACTCCCTATTGGGAATGTGCCTGCAAACTAAGATACATGCCCTTGACCAGAATCAAACCTGGGACCTTTCAGTCCGCAGGCTGATGCTCCATCCACTGAGCCAAACCGGTTAGAGCAGCAACACCTACTACTCTTGCCATTACTCACTCACTATGGGACTCAATGCTTTCACGGTTCATGGTTGAGGGCTCCAAATTGTCCTGCCTGTCAGTGTAAAGTAATGCTCTCACTTCTCCTCTGAACTCCCAGTATAATGAGGACATGGATTAGGTTGGTTAGCTTCCTGGATATTTAAGGACAATCATTTAACTTCTTGTAGCCACAGCAGACAAAATTGTTAGCGGTAATAACATAATAAATAAAATTGTGCTTTCATCGTTTATGCCTTTTTATTACAACCTGAAAACTCTTTTCCTCCTTCTGTTTACCCTTTTGCCCCACTCATTCCAGCTTTCCCCCAATATCCCAATCTTTTAAGGACCAGGTGGGGTCTTGCCTCCTCCATGAATGAATCCCCCATTCCTCCAGATTTTTATTCATCAAAATTAATCTTTGTTCTGGGTTTCCATTGGGAATAATGTACTCTTCTTTAGTATTCACGTCTTTTATCTGCACATTTTCTTAGTGTTTCCTAGGTGGGCAAGTGTTGATCATTGTGTTCATTTTTCTAATTTTCCACTTATGATGTTTTTATTGATTTCAGAGAGAAAGGGAGAGGGGGAGAGAGAGAGAGAAACATCAATGAAGAGAGAGAATCATTAATTGACTACCTCTGCACACCCCACACTGAGATTGAGCCTGCAACCCGGGCATGGGCACTGACCAGGAATCGAACCGTGACCTCCTGGTTCATAGGTTGACACTTAACCACTGAGCAACACTGGCAGGGCTCAAACCCCCTTATTATAAAATGTTTTGTTGCTTCTTGAAGTCCAAATTTCTGAGAACTGTGGCCCAATAATACCAAGTACAATGAACACATTGACTAAAAGTCTGAGAAATTAAATCCTTATAATTAATCAAAGCAGAGAATAATAATAATGCACCAATCAAAAGATATCATCTACTTAATTAAATATTATTATAATGGAATTTTAACAAACTATTACAACAAGAAGGGACTTGACATAGTTCCCTAAAACCTCTCTCTCTTTGTAAGAACTCTGTGTGCCCCAAACCTGCCTGGGACCATGTGTGTAAGGGAGTGTATTCAGGCACTTCATTATACTGTCTGTTTTAACTAAAGACTGCTGAGCAGAAATACCTCCCTCTACACCACCACGTGGCTCACCGTTTGATGTCTAAATGGCAGCCTACCACAGAGACACATGATCTGATTGCAGAAAAATATTTCGCACACATTTAGGATCAGCAGGGGGCACCCTTAAACAAAAGTACTTTTAACCACCACTTTCCCCCTGGGTGCACACACAACACTTTGTATGTGAGAAATTTGGCTAATCATAGAGGTTGGTAAACCATTTTCTTGAGATTCCTTCAATATAACCATGGAAATAAAACAATGAATGTGAACATCTTGACTTTGGATTTAGAAGTTATATATATCAGTTAAGAAGCTGGCCTGATGATTACATAAGGAGCCACGGGGAGTTTGTCTGAGGAGATTCCCTGAGAGACTGAATCCTGAGTGGGGTTTGAAAAGGAAGGGCATTCCTGGCTCTGGGGTTTTAGAAGCAGCTGGAAGGTTAGATCTACATAGTTATAATAGATTCAGGAATATGATCATCAGAACCTCATATTTGGGCCTTTCTCATCAGCCATGAACTCAACTTGTGTTTCCCCCCTCCTCCTTTTCCTACTCAGCTACCAAGAGAACAACCACCATGTGAGGACAAATAGAAATTAAAAGAAAACATAGTTTTATCTACCATATAGACTTTTTGCTTTAAAGTATAAACCTTGCATCTATAATATCAAATCAGGTCATCACACTCTTCCTTCTGAATACCAGCCAGAAAGAAACAACAAACTATAATATATGATATCTTGTTCCATAATTCTGCTGAATTTATAGCAGAATGCCTTTGAGGTATACCTTTCCTAAATTTCACATTGCAAGGGACACTTTTCTCTCCTTATTGTTGTGGGGTTTGTGCCATTCTCCAAATGCAATCACACAAAATACAAGAAGAAATAAGAACGGACAAAGAAGCAAAAGTATTTAGTAGAGACCCATGATAAGTTTAGGACTAGAAGGAGGAAAGGATGAGCAGGATGAGGAAGCATGACAAGTTCTTTAAGAAAACACCTGTTTCCAATTACACATTTCTTACTTAATTAGACACTTTGAGTTTAAACATAACACTCCCAAGTCCATCAACCACCCATGGCAATTCTCCAGGTGTTTGCAATTACGTAATGTCCTAAAAAATCATCTGGATTG